CTCAGCACTCAGCTACAATATTGCACCAGAGCCTTCAGTCAGCAGTGTGTGCTCTTGAGACACAACCTCTCCCCTTGTTATCTGTCAATGGCTGAACCCCAGGACTGTCACCTTTGGGTCACATGTCCCTGTCCTCTCCATTCCTAGCCACCACCCTGGCCACCTCAACAGTGGTGTGGACGACCCGGCCGACACTGTGGCCTCCAGTCTCCCGACTTTCTCCCCAGCCTGGAATCCTTCTTCCCTGGCTACATCATGGATCGCAGTCCTCCTCATCTTCCACGCTGATTTCTGGTGAGACCTTGGATTCGGAAATTCCCCCAGCTGCGACTGTCCTTCCACCTGAAATGTGTTCTTTGTCTTTCATTTTGGTCACCAGCCTCTCTGTCATGGTGCTCTCCTTTGCCGTCTAGATGTTCCACGGTTCTCCACTAGACTGACACCACACTCGTTCATTTCGTGCATTCCACAGATGCTGATTCAGCACCTACCACATGCCAGGTGCTGTCTGCTCTGGAAGTACTAGCCCTGAGCTGCATTCCCAACTCCTCACTGCACTGGTGTGTGATGCAGCTATACCTTCTGACGTGTGCATGCCGTTTATGATTCTGTTATTTTCCTCTTGCCATTCTGAGCCAGAAATGGTCTTTCCTAACTTTGCCATTTATTTTGAGGCTCAGTTAAAATGATACCATCTCTGAGAAAACTCTTTTCTTCTTGAAGCCTGCTGCAATACTCCCTGCAGCTTCGAGAATCTCAGTCAGTAGAAAGGAAGTTAAGGCTCTGAAGGGTATCATCAACTCTCAGGTCTTACATCTTTATAGATGCTAAGATTGTTGTTGTCAATTGCCCTGGCATCTGCCAACTCATGGAAACCCCATGCACAACAGAAGGAAATGCTGCTCAGTCCTGCTCTGTCCCCATGATCGGCTGCAGATTGGACTGTTCTGATCCATAGGGTTTTCACTGGCTGATTTTTTGGAAGTAGATTGTCAGGCTTTTCTTCCTAGTCTTTCTTAGTCTGGAAGCTCTGCTGAAACCTGTTCAGCATCATAGCAACATGTAAACCTCCACGGACGGATGGGTGGTAGTTGCACAGGAGATGAACTGACCAGGAACTGAACCTGGGTCTCTTGTGTGGAAGGTGACAGAGACACTCAAACTCAAAATATCCAAAATGGAGTTTATATTTTGCCTCCAAATGCCATACTCCCTCTTGAAGGTGCCTCATCCATACAACAAAACCAGAGATATTAAATGCATTCCAGGATCCTTTTTTTCCTCTTTGTCTTTCAAGCATTTTATTTTACCTATTTATTGTACTTTAGATGAAGATTTACAGAACAAACTAGCTTCTCATTAAACAATTAGTACACATACTGTTTTGTGACATTGGTTACCAACCTCACAACAAGTCAACACTCTCCCCTTCTTGACCTTGGGTTCCCTATTACCAGCTTTCCTGTCCCCTCTTGCCTTCTCGTCCTTGCCTCTGGGCTGGTATGCCCATTTAGTCTTGTTTTGTGTTATGGGTCTGTCTAATCTTTGACTGAAGGGTGAACCTCAGAAGTGACTTCAGTACTGAGTTCTAACAGTGTCTGTGGGCCATACTCTTGGGGTTTCTCCAGTTTCTGTCAGACCAGTAAGTCTGGTCTTTTTTGTGTGTGTGTGTGTGAGTTAGAATTTTGTTCTACGTTTTTCTCCAGCTCTGTCCAGGACCCTCTATTGCGATCCCTGTTAGAGCAGTTGGTGGTGGTAGCCAGGCACCATCCAGTTGTGCTGGACTCAGTCTGGTGGAGGCTGTGGTAGTTGTGGTCTATTAGTCCTTTGGACTAATCTTTCCCTTGTGTCTTTGGTTTTCTTCATTCTCCCTTGCTCCAAGTGGGTTGGGACCAATTGATGCATCTTAGATGGTTGCTCACCAGCTTTTAAGACCCCAGATGCTACTCACCAAAGTAGAATGTAGAACATTTTCTTTATAAACTATGTTATGCCAACTGAGCTGGATGTCGCCTGAGACCATGGTCCCCACAGCCCTCAGCCCAGTAATTCAATCCCTCAGGGAGTTTGGATGTGTCTATGGAGCTTCCATGACCTTGCCTTGGTCAAGTTGTGCTGGGTTCTCCAGTGTTGTGTACTGTCTTACCCTTCACCAAAGTTACCATTTATCTATTGTCTATTTAGTGTTTTTCCATCCCCACTCCTCCTCCCATTCCAGGATCTTCCTCCCACGCAACCTGCACAAATATTTTATTAAAACCTGTGGAATCTGTTTCTTCAGGATTTCTCGTATTTATAACCCTTCAGTGCCATCTCCTCTTTCAATTCCTGTCCCACTATCTTAATAATTGTTGAGAATCTTGGCTTCTTCTCTTGCTTCCAGTCTCGTCTCTGGCGAGTACAATTCTGATCATGTTACTCCCCTGCTTGCTGTAATTTCAGGGTCACGACCACCCAGACCCTTTGCCCAGCACAGTGAGTCCCCTGACCTTGGCCTGCCTTTCTAGCTGACCTCTTCCCTAATGCATAGGCCCCTGCTGTGGCTATGGGGTTGTTCCCTCCTGGGTCCTTCATTTCAGCCCCCACACCTTCATCACGTGGCTTCCTCACCCTGAAACAAGTTTCCTTCCCTCCTTGTTTTTCCACCACCCTCTTCACATTGTTGGCTCCTGCTCTTCAGACACAAGTCAATGAAGGCATTGCAGCCCTGGGGAGCCCTCCCGGTCACCCTCTCTGCACCTCAGCCACCTATCCCTGCACGTTCTGGGGCGGTACACTTCCACGGGAAGGGCAGCAACTCTAGAACAGATGGACAACGTTTTGTTTCTGCCACTTCCTGGCGTGGGACCTCCGCCAGGCAGCTCACTGGCTCTGTGCCTCAGTTTCCTCATTTCTAAAATGGAGACGTTAGTGGTGGTACCCTCTTTAGAGGGTGGTTAGAGTGCGTGAGATGCTTTATGTACAATGCCTGGAGCAATGCCTGAGACGTGGGATCTGCATACAGGATGAGGTATTTTTATTATTATCGTAACAACTGATTCAGTTGCTGGTTTTCCAAAACAAACAGTAAGATCTTTGAGGGAAAAAATGATGCTTGATTTTACAACATGTCCTCAGCACCTTGCATGGCCCCTGGGACGTAGCAGGTACTCAGTGAACATGCACTGAACAAGGGAACTCACACATACAGGGAATAAGTGAAGTCTGGTGCTTCGTTCTGTAACATGTAAGGTCGCCACAAGTCGGAGCTGAGTAGACAGCAACTAACAACAACACAGCGTTCACAAGTTTACCGTAATTATGCTACGGGGAAGCGTGCTTCTCCCCTCGGGTTGCAACGCTGACGGGTCTCATTAGCTCGCCGCACACCTCTCCGTCCTGACAGCGGGGCACAGCGTAGTTAATGAATGGAATGTTATTATGGAAGCCGATATGTAGGTGTGAACGGTGACAAGTTCCTTTGGGATGCAGGCACAGAGAGACAGAATTTGAATTCCTACCAGAAAGGGACCAGGGGGCACAGCAGCTGAGGGGAGACGAAGCAGAGATGGTGTAAAGATTTGGCTGAAGAAATCAACTCTCCAGGCCAGTCTCCTGGCTGCTGCTGTGAGGATGATGAGGTTGGCAGAGTGACCATTGGTGTGGGGAGGAGGGGCCCAGGGTCTCCTCGCACTCTCTGCCCTGTGAGCCTTGGTGAACTGCAGATGGGACACAGGGTATGAGGGACAGCCCCACTCCTCGTCCCTTTTCTCTGGGTTCTTTATGGAAGCTGGCTTCTTGTTTACCGTGAAAAAGCTGTTCTCAAATCCAGAGGTCCGCCTCTCCCCCACTAGGCTTCTTTGAACCCCAGTGGAGAAGCTATAGGAGTCCCTGGGTGGCTCAAATGGTTAACGTGCTCAGCTGCTAACTGAAAGGTTGGAGGTTTGAGTCTACCCAGAGATGCCTCGGAAGAAAGACCTGGCTATCTACCTCCAAAAAATCAGCCACTGAAAATCTTATGGAGCACAGTTCTACTCTGTACACATGTGGGTGCCATGAGTCAGAATTGACTGGGCAGCAACTGGTATCCCCTTTTCAAATGATATCGCAGAATAAGAACTACAAACAGAGGACAGTATTCTACCAGCTACTATGGGACGCAGGTTTGGGATCATTCTGGACCAAACCCGGCACCAGAACCACTCAGACGAAAGGAACAAATGGGAGGGAGGCTCCCTGTGCTGGTGAGCAGGACTGTGCCAGGACACAGCTGCGGGGTCCCATCAGTGTCCCGAGGACTCTGGTCTGGCTGGCTCAGACCTCCTCTCTTGCTGGAGAGCCTGCTGGCATTTGCAAACGTTCACCTCCCTGGGAAGTCTGCAGGTTGTAAATTCCTAAGGCCGATTCAGGCTGGAGGATAAAAGGGTGCTGGCAAGGCAGGAATAGAGCTTGTCGGCTTCAGACACCCCTGCTTTCCACAGATGGCGACCCTGAGCCTGCGGGCCTCAGTCAAGTCCGGAGCCAAGGCCAGCTGCGCTGAGCTGAGCTGAGCGGCATCTGCCTGGGTGGTGGTGTCTGTGCCCTTGGCTGAATAAATTCAGAACTTCAGCTTTTAAAGGGTGTGTGGACCGGGGCCTCTTCCGGAGAGCTGCACTGATACAGTCTGCCGCCTGGCTCGTCTGCGTAGATGTTAATGTCTGTGACCCTCGTTACCCTTTACGCTCTTCTCTGGGCCCTGTTCCCCACCCTCAGATAGTCTTACACACTCCTGAGTCTCCTTGGAAAACAACCACAGAAAGGCACAGTTTCAACATCCATCCTCCCCCTCCTGAGTGGTGGCGTTTGGAATCTGTCTGTTCCCCTGTGGGTTGTCTGAGTGCCAGGACCCGCGCCCACTCAGGTGTACACCCCCTCCCCGCCCTTTGGGATGCCAGGGAGGGCGGATGTGGGGACCGAGTGGGCTCAGTCAGCTTGTGGGGACAAAGGTGGCTGCCGGGAGCCAGCCTGCTGCTCGTACTCACACTTCAGCTCCAGCTTGATGAAGTCTGTGTTCCCCAGGTTTTCCAGAAACACCCCACGTGGGATCAGCGTTTTGAAGTAGAAGGAAATGTCGGCGCTGGTCTCCCCTTGGAAAGTGGAGAAGTGGAGGTGGGACGACGGGTCTGGGAAGGAGGCGGCGTTCCAGTAGTTCCCTGCGTGGGAGAAAAGAACAGGGGAGTTTACACCTAGGTCATGCCAGCAACGTAAAAGTATCCATTTCTGGGATTTTGACAAATCTTTGTTGTCTGTGAGCCCCACTTCCTCTTGTCCTGCAGAACAATGGTAAACCGAATCCCCGCAGAGCTGCTCTAGAGTTCCGGAAGTCACGGGTGTGTGCCTGTGCGTCGACTGTTGTGTTAAAGGTGGGCGGTCGGGGTCCCGCAAGCAAGCGGCGGGCTGCAGGGACTCCGGGGAGGGACCGCAGGCAGAGGAGACGCGAGAGAAGCCCCAGGTGATGTAGTGAGTGGGTGGGTGGGGGCTGCTTTGAACGAGGGGCAAGAAGCATGAGGACCCAGCAGGAGAAGGCAGGAGTGGAGTTTGGGTGTTCTGCTTGGGGACAAACAATGTTTTGCCCGAACACCTGGCACAGCCACCTCAGGAATGCTATGGGGCATGCCGACGGGGGATCATGAGGAGCAGGCAGCTGACCGCTGGAGCAGCGTCCCCACCACCCCTGCCCAGTCCCAGGGGATGACCACACAGGAGCGTCTCCCTGAGCGGCTTCTCCAGGGGCTCCTTGGGGTGGGGGAGAGTGGCTGAGCCACCCCAGGGCTCTCATTCGGCTTCTACCCTTGGGATCTGGGAGGAGAACAACTGGGCGCCCTGGTCCATGCTGCCGAAACACACGTGCCTGCACACGCACACACGTACACGCACCTTCTCACACACACACACTCTTGCCCACATGTACACACACATTCACACACACTCCCATTGTGGGACAGAGTAGCCAGTACCCCCAGGAGAGAAGATGTTCACAGGCCAAGATAAAAACCCCACACTAACTACTCGGTTTCCACTAGCACCCGAGCAACAAACCAAAACCAAACTCGCTGTCAAGGAGTCAATTCTGACTCATAGTGACCCTAGAGGACAGAGCAGTACTGCCCCATAGGGTTTCTGAGGAGCAGCTGGATTTGAACTGCCGACCTTTCGCTTAACAGCTGAGCTCTTAACCGCTGCACCACCAGGGCTCCGTCCAAGGACCAGGAACTTGTAATCAGGCTGAGAGCTGGCTTTCAGCTTCATCTCTAGGGAAGGAGTTCCTTTTGAATGTCACATTTCTGAGTGCATTTCCCAGGAGAGCTACGGACTGAAACACATGGCAAGCTTTCAGACAGCCACCAGAACCTCTGGATTCACTGTTAAATCCGCAGCTTTCTCTGATTTTTGCTAATAGACCATCTTCCCTCCCAAGAGCACACTGCATAGGCTAAGCTCACTCCACGGGTTTGGTTCATACACAAACCGTATTTTCCGTTCATTTACACCAAGTGTGCACATATACAATATTAAGTTCAACTACTATTCTTAAATAAAATTAATTTCATGTGGGTACTGCTACGTTTAAGCCGTAATTTTAAATTAAACATACAATATTACTGTATCATAGGTATTAAGATACCTTCTTATTTAATGAATGCTATGTGTTTTTGTTCTTCGAAACATCTAGATACAGTGATATAGAGATACGTCTGTGGTGGCATATAACCAGCAGATGATGAGGGATATGTCTGTGGTGGCATATAACCAGCAGATAATGAGAGATACGTTTGTGGAGGTCATAAGGGAAAAACAACGGGAACAGTCTATCCTTAACGTGTCCACAAAGTCTTAGTGTAATTTTAGGAGAAACAGACGCTAGTTTCCTCTTGGAAAGAAGACTGTTGTGTGATATTGGGTAGAATGAATACCCCAGAGGAAAGGACCTCGACCATCACTGGCGTCACTGTCCAAGGAGGCCGAGCCCTCCTCTGGCACAAGACCGAAAACGGCTTAATCTGCCATCAGCGGAGATGAGCCGGCCCTGTCAGCTTGCCACAGCGAAGGGCTCGCTCGAGAAAACCTAAGTCGAAGTACAAGGTGCAACCCTCCTTGCCATCAGACTCCTGGAACAGGGAGGGAATAAGGATGGGTCCTTGGAGCCAGGAGGTGTAGCTTGTCCTAACGGGGTGAGGGGCCCCTGTGGCACAGTGGTTAAGTTCTCGGCTGCTCACTGAAGGTTGGCAGTTAGAACCCACCAGCCACTCCCAGGGAGAAAGACGTGGCAGTCTGCTTCCATAAAGATTACAGCCTTGGAAACCCGTGGGGCAGTTCTATTCTGTCTTATAGTGTTGTTATAAGTTGGAATCGACTTGATGGCAACAGGTTTGCCTTGGTTTTTTAACAGGGTGAGGAGCGCTGGGTGGTGCAAACGGTTAACACATTTGGCTGCTCACTGAAAGTTTGGAGGTTTGAGTCCGCTCTGGCTACCTACTTCCAAAAAACCATCCACTGATTCTGGGGTTGCCAAGAGTCAGAGTCAACTTGATGGCCAGTGGTTCGGTTTCGGTGTTAGTCCAGGGAAGGAGTATTTAGCAAACAAGACTGGTATGTACTCCGTCTGCCAACCTCCTCACCAGTCATCTTGGGAAAGTCCGACAGGTGATGGAAGCTGGACATCCCAGGTGAGGCCCTGGCTCCTTCGTTACGTGACAACAGTATTTTATGTCTCTGTATTCAGGAGGAGTATCCCCGGCTGGTGCAAACAGTCAACACGCTCAGCTGCTAATGAGAAGACTGGAGGTTCAAGTCCACCCAGAGGCACCTCAAAATAATGGCCTGGTGATCTACTTCTAAAAAATTAGCCACTGAAAACCATACAGAGCACAGTTCTACCCTGATGCACATGGAGTCACTATGAGTTGGAGTCGGCTCAATGGCAACAGTTTTGAGTGGGCGAGAGCCCTTTAACAGCCAAATCACCTGCAAGGGTGGAGGTCCCAACACTTGCCTTAAGCAGGGCAATGCCATCTCTTTAGGCTGTATCCCCAGAACATGCATGTAATTAACATTTGCAAGTTTCAGTCCAATCAAGTACATTCTCATTTTCTGAGGTAGTGGTGTATTAACGTAAGGGTGGTTTTCTAAAATGATTCTAGAAAAAGTAAAGCTAAAAGCAAAATATGTCAGTATTTATCTGAGGTCCAGCACTGGTTATTCAGACAGAAACATCCCGAGAGGAGGAGGGTGGTTCAAGCGGTGATTCTAGTTTGATGAATTTTCCCTACAGACTGAAATGCCATTCGTGTTAATTCTATGCACAGTAAGCAACTTTGATCTAATTTGGTCTCTTGAATGGACTTAGTCACAGGGCAATCATGCCTTAGTACAAATGGTTGTTTTATAGACTGAATTGTGTCCCTCCAAAATAGCTGTTTAATTCCTTGTACCTAGACATGTGATCTTGAAAATAGGGATTTTCTTTCATTATGTTAATGAGGGCATGACAGTGCCGAGTGGGTCCTAAACCTAATCACGTCTGAGTTACAAGAAAACCAGAATAGACAGAGACACACATCCAGAGGAAGACAGATATCATGTGAAGATCTTCTTCAAGCCAAGGAAGGCCCAGGACTACCAATCAGGAAGGAATTGACACAGCCAAAGCCCTGATTTGGACATTTAGCCTCCAGAACTGTGAGAAAATACATTCTGTACTTTAAATACCAGTGGTGCAGTGGTTAAGAGCTCGGCTGGTAACCAAAAGGCTGGCAGTTCGACTCCACCAGCCACTCCTTGGAAACCCTATGGAGAAGTTCTACCTTGTCCTAAAGGGTCACTATGAGTCGGAATTGACTTGATGGCAATAGGCTTGGCTTTTTGGTGTGGTATTTGTGTTACAGCAGCACCAGGAAGCTAAGACAAGCGGTAATGAGTTGTCCTTCTGGAAATGTCTGGATTTCCACAGGGTATCTTTGAGTTGTCACTTTTAGGTTGTACCAAATCTCTGGATGAACTTACTGAATCCAGATGCTTTGCCAACAGCAATGAGGATGATACTCTGGACTGGACTGGTGGTAATCAAAATTGAGGTGTATACTCAGGAAGTGCCCCGAATGACCCAGGGGGCACAGGTGGAGGATATACAATGATAGACATATAGACCAATGGAATTGATATATGTCCAGAAATAAACCTGTACATCTATGGTCAACTGATTTCTGGCAAAGGGAAAGAAGAGTCTTCAATAAATGGTGTGTGGAAAACTGGGTTCCCACATACAGAAGAATGAAATAGGATCCTTACCTCACACCATACACAAAAACCAATTCAAAATAGATCAAGGGCTTAAATGTGAAAAGTAAAACCATAAAATTCTTAGAAGAAAACATAAGGGTATGGCTACAGGACTCAGCGTTCAACAGTAGATTCTTAGATACAACACCAAAAGCATGAGCAGCAAAAAACAAAAGAGACAGATGGGACCTCATAAGAATTAAGAACTTTTCATCATCAAAGGACTTTATCCACAAAGTGGAGAGACAACATACATGTTGGGAGACAAATTTGGGGGATGATATGTTGGATAAGGATTTAATATCCAGAATATACAAAGAACTCTTGCAACTTAATGACAAAAAGATAGACAACTCAACCGAATAATGGGCAAAAGATTTGAGTAGACATTTCACTAAAGCGGATATGCAAATGGCCAACAAGCACATGAAAAGATGCTCAATGTCATTAGCCATTAAAACAAAAAAGCCATTGCCACCAAGTCAATTCTGACTCATAGCGACGCTACAGGACAGAGGAGAACTGCTCCATGGGGTTTCCAAGGAGCAGCTGGTGGATTTGAACTGCTGACCTTTTGGATAGCAGCTGAGCTCTGAACCATTCCGCCGTCAGGGCAGTGGTTCTTCATTAGCCATTAGGGAAATGAAAATCAAAACCACAATGAGATGCTACCTCACCCCTCCCCCAGAATGGCTATGATCAAATAAATGGAAAATAACAGGTGTTGGTGAGGATGAGGAGAAATTGGAACCCATGCACATTGCTGGTGGGAATTTAAAATGGTGCAGTCGCTGTGGTAAACAGTTCGGCGGTTCCTCAGAAAGTTAAACATAGAACTACCAGCAATTCTGCTCCTAGGATTGTACCCAAAAGA